ATTTTTAGTTATTTGAGTGATAGTTAATTGACTTAAAAGGATCCTTAGTCAATGAAACTATTTTAGGCAAACCAAATCAAGTGTTTTGATGGTTGTTATGCTCAAAAAAGAGTAACTTAAAAGAAAGTTTGGTTATTTAAAATTAATTGAAACTCAACCCTAAAATGTTATGTACCCGCTTTTATAGAAAGTTATAAGACTTAGCAAAGGAAATACGAGATTTCACATAAAAGAGCTATGAAATCAATTTCATGAGTGTATGTTTAGATATGAGATTACCAAGTAATAAATAAATTTGGAGGAATTGATTATAATATTTTTTCATACTAATATTCACGCTTTCTTTAATTTTTATGATGATTTTGTGCATGTAAAATATATTGTGATTATATTTTGCAGGTTATAGGTGTTGAGTGTGCTGCGATAAGCTAAATTATGAAGTTGGACAAAATTAGGGACTTGCGTTGCTACATTGCCCATTAACATACCTACTCCAGGTCCTAGTGAAGAAACCACTCGAGAGAAATAGAGGGAAAAATAATTACATCAGTTTTGTCATAGCAACACTACCCTTAGGTGTACCTACATCGGAATCGGGTGTACCTATGTTGGGGCTCCACAAAATACCATTTCAATAATAATTTTGTGAGCAATTTTGAGGTATATTATTTAAGAAGATATTAGAAATTGTAATAACAATGATGTGGGTCTTGCGTTGCTATATTGCCCATTAGAAAATAATATGTTATTCCCGTGAGCTTTTAATTAACATTAATCAATCATTGAATCATTGTAAAAAAGTTTATTAAGTTTAAAATATAGTATTTAACTTTAAATTTTATTTAAATTCTTATAAATGATATAAAAAACAAATCAACATGCAAACTAAGACCAATATGTCCATCAATTAAGTGAGCTTCAAGCTTCTCTTTCTTTTTGAGATTAAAATATATAAAATTAACTCTCACTATGAAATTGGAGTAAAAGAGATATGTGAATGACCATAAGACTACAGAATTGGGATGTGAAATTTGGGTTGGGCTAAGAAATTTGGGCTAAGAGTAGCTAAAAAATAAGTATTGGTTATAGGAATTGGGTTGTATTAATTGATAAATCTATTATATACTAATTTATATTTATATATTTATATTATATCTTTTAAAATTTTAAATAAATTTAAAATAATTAGTATACTATGTTACATCATATTTACATAATTTAAACATTTATTGTATTAATTAGTTCAACCTTTGAACCTTAAACATTTTTCCCTTTTATTTTGATACAGTCTAATTTCCAAAAAATTGGTAAATACCTCAAAAGTTATCTCCAATGTTTTGAGCTCAATTCTCCCTTACACACTAGCAAACTCCTATATTGTTGACTTGTAGGTGAGCAAGAAAATCAATATAATAACATTGCAAGTACTTCATTTGTAGTATCTTTAAAGGCATACCATGATGCTTATACTCATCAAATTTTTTATGAATACACTACAAAGTTTAAAACTATCCACAATTATAAAAAATAGCCCTTAGCAGCTATATAGTAAATATTTTGATAGAGTTTTTGACATATAAAAAAAATGATTATTAAAGATGTACTTTCATAAAAATATAAAATTTTCTTTATCTAAATATGTCAAAGAAACATTAAATAAGCTCCGAATGAAGGCTTAAATGTTAATTATTTATCTCATTAGACTATTTACATTGTATTCGATGGTCGTCGTTATGGTAAAACTAACGGGAATAACAATACATTGCACACTTTTCTATCAAAATCTATACATTGCACGCTTTTCTATCTATAAAGAGCCTTGACTCTCTTAATAATGCTATTTTTTTTACACAATAAGTTCATTATCTTCTCTTATGTTTAAAATGCAATTATAAAATTATTAGGGTCATACAATGCCTTTATTTTCTTTGATATTGCAATCTCATATATTATCCAATGAACCTTATTCTATTTCATTAGATGTTATATGAAATATGCATATGTCTTCATTACCAATTATATACCCAAACAAAAAAGCATGGCTATTGAAGGGGTCCTTCGACCTTTTATTGTTCATAAGCTTGATAAAAATTACGAGATATTATTGATCAAATATTTCATCTAATAAAATAATATCAAGCTCATATTTCTTTGAATTGTCTATATTTTTTCATTATTTAAAAAGTATATTATATTTGTGCTATAAAAAAAATTATCTATATTAAATAATTGTGCATTACTATAATCATGGCATATTAGCATCTAAACATAATGCATTAGAATGGATACCTTAATTTCTAGGTATATAGTAGGTATATTTAATTGTTGAAGTCAGTACTCACTTTTAGTGCTATGCCTATTCTCTTTTTCATTGAAGTTATCTATTATCCCTACCATCCAAGATTTTTAAAGCAAAACAACTACTTTTTTATTGGATGATCATAGACATATGGATTCATTTGCTTATACATTTTATTCTAAATGAATCAATGACAAAAGACTAAGAAATGACAAAAGAAAATTTTAGATAAAGCATCTAAAGTGTTGGAAAACCCTTTTTAATTTCTATTCAAATTAATTATCAATAGACAAGTGTGCAATCCATGGATTTTTCATCACGAACATCATGGGACAATTTATTTTTCTTTGTTTTGCATAAATTCAAAAGATAAATTGCTAATATTTTGAAAATTATAATAAGTTCATGAAATCATATATAAACTGTTCAATGAATTCAATGGAATAAGAATTAAACCCAAATTCATTAAATATAACACAATTAATATATAATTTGCATGACTTTAAATTATATCAAATAAGCTTCAATTTTTTTTATTTTCACCTTTTTTTAATAGAAGCTTAGATATGTTAATAAGCTACCATAAAAAAAATAAAATAAAAAAAAGTGAAAAGTCTAAACCTATAATAATTTATAAAGCATTAAATAGTTATCATATTTCAAATATAATTAGCCATGTGAACATATAAATAAGAAATTTAATTTCAAGATAGATTAAAATTTTAACACATAAATACTAATAATCTAATATTATAAAGTAATTTCTTATTATGGAATAAATCAAATAATTATAAATTCAAGACAAATAAATTTTCAAAAAGAATGAAAGATTTTTTAAAACATCTAAAGTATAATTTAAATAGTTTTTCCTAAAAATTAAATTAACCTCACTTTTTTGCCATCAATCATACAATTGGGTAAGGTCTTATTTAATCAATTTACAATGAATAACATCCTGAAGCCAATCCATTGGCTAATTTTAAGGTAATGTTAGACATATTTGCACTTAACTTTATCACTTAAAGCTATCCTCCAAGTAGCAAATCATTCAAGTCAGACTAGTGAATATAATAAAGTGTTGAAATCTATTCATATAAGAACACCATGGTGCCTTAAAAGTGATTTATATCATTTTGAATTAAGTAACAAAACATTACTAAAACATTTTTAAGTGGTTTTAAAATGATGCAAAATTCTTTAGGCATAAATGATTAGACATACATTCATGATAGCTTAAATGAGAATCAATTTTAGTTATAAAGCTACATATAAGATACTAAAATATTTTTACTCAAAACAATTAAAAATTGACTATATTACCCACTTGACCATTGAAGACAATATACATCTCCTAATTATGGTCATTTTTGAAACAAAAGTACTTTTACAATCTCTTAATTATAAATTTCTCAATTTCTAAAATTTCATAACATAGAAATTAATTCTAAACAGAATATCCTCAAAAATACTTCTTACGTTACCATCAATAGCCCCCAATAACCTCCGCAGCTACACTGCAATAACCCCCCAATAACATCCAATGTTCCACTCCAATAACCCCCTGCATTAACCCCCAAAATAACCTTGTAATAACTTTCGCAGTTTCACTTTAATAACCCCCAAATAACTTCCGTGATGTAACACACGTGGCGACATATAGGGGTGTAAACGAGTCAACTCGTGTTCGACTCGTTTATATTTTGAGCTCAAAAAGTGTGTTCGTGTTCGGCTCATTTGCTTAATAAGCTGAGCCGAACTCGAGCTGTTCACGAACAAAGAGCCATTTTAACAACCCTAATCATGTAGACACAAGACAATAAAGATTTGAGCAAGATTTAAAAATTATTATTTATATTAAAACATCATTTGAATCTAATTTAATAATTTTTATTCTATTTTCTTAATAAATATTTTAATTGATTATAAATCTTTGTAGCCTTGTAGTCGATTAGATTTTTTTAAAATATTACTTAATATATATATATAAACTTGATGAGTAATATTTCGAGCCAAAACGAGCCAAACACGAACGAACACATCTTAGTTCGTGTTCGGCTCGTTAACTTATCAAACGAAATCAACGAGCCGAACAAGAGCTTCTTAACGAGCCGAACACGAGCTGTTCGCGAACAACGAGCCGTTTTGACAGCCCTAGCGACATTACTGGTGTCTGCACGCAGAGCTACATCCGAAGTTCGGACAAAAAATATTTCCATGCTCGCGTGCCTTCAAGGTAAATCACAATCTTCGCCGACAGTACTATTTGATACAGCACAATAAATAGAATAAGCATTAAATTTAGGAGGCTTCACATACAAACCATTCAATTTCTAAATAATTATATATCTAACACCTAAACTTCAACTTACCTATGCATGAAAATCTGTATTTTACATTTTAAAAGTTAGAATGGTGATAATTTTAACATGAAATGAAATATTTTAAAGGTATAACAGTAAATGCTCCCTAAATTTATTATGCATACCACTAAATTCCTATACTTAACATCTTATGTATTTACATATCTAACACCTACATTTTCATATTTAAAAGCATAGCACTCAAATGTCTCAATTGTTCAATACCGTATCAAAAACATCACTATTACTAACTTCTTCAAAATGAACGATACTGTTTTATGCATAAATTTATGAAATCAAAACATTATAGATGTAAATATCAAACTTTTGGATGCTACAGATGTAAAAACATAAGAATCATATGGTTAAGATGTGAATCCCCCAAAAATCACAAAACAATATCGAAGGAAAATTTACAATTGGCTCTAGTCCTGCATGAAAACAAGATCCAACTGAGAATAATTCTCTTATTAATGATTCATAAATACGCCGAACATACTAAAATTTAGATTAACAAGACCCGTGTGGCTTTGGCAAGCAACCAATCACCTCAAACGACGACGACGACAACAACAACAACAACAAAAATTGCTTGATATGCATAGATGCATCCATAAATAGACATTGCTACCACATGGAGATAATTTGGAAGGGGAGATATCACCTTTATGCTATATTTCTCGCTCTCATCAATGCTTCCATCTTGTCAACATCTTCAGGTGTGTCTACTCCATGAGCTTCATGGTCAACCTTGATAACCTGCACCATATAACACCATGTACTTGTTAAAGCCCATCCTATAAATAAAAAATTAAATAAGAAAAAGATCTGAAAACATCTTCTGGTGCATGATTGCAGTGAAGATTAACATGAAGAACGCATGGATTTCTACATGCCCAACTGTATGTAAGGTAGTAAAAAAAAAGAGAAATTTACATATCTCATTTACATACATAGCACTTTGGTGCTTTAAACCTATCCATGAAAAGGTGTATTACAGATTTGAGTGCTATGTGTGTAAATATGAAAGTTTAGGTTAGGTGCGAGATGCGAGATATGTAAATACATGAGAATTGAGTGCTATGTATGTAAATGCCCCTAAAATATATTAGATTGCAAGTAAATTTACATGGCGCAAACATGGAGGTAACTGAAAGCTCAAGATCTCTGTTATGGATGCATGAATGCAAGTTAGGATCCAAGGTTTAGATTGAGCACTCAATCCGCTCAATGTTCTCAAAGTAAAAAAACGAAAGAAAAAAAAAATCAAAAAAAGATGATGAAACTTGATTTGCATTTCATATACCGCCTTTTCCACTGTAAAAATAAGGACTTTATAGAATATAAAACTAACCATCTTTATTAGCACTAATTAAAATAATGGTTTACATGCTAATCACAACATTAATGGCCAATCTTTTGATTGACAAACTGATTACAAACTTATGATGTAGGTTCACAACAATGATGTGGGTCTTCGAACATCACCTCTATCCCAACCCTTCCACCTTCCAGTAGAAGGGCATGTATGTAGGGTATGCAATCATTCATGTATGTGCATTTTTATAAAAGGTTTTAGTGGTAGCATTACCCTGGTAATTTTCAGACTAAAATGAATTGTTGTCTATAATATATGACTTGCGGAAATGACATTTGGGGCATCCAATAACCATGAGATGATAATTTTGAATTTGAATTTAAATAGGTTTATTAGCTATTAGATAATACATGAGATAATTTCGACATTGGAAGTAACAAATTTTTTTTTACTTAGTATGTAAATATCACATACATCAAAACTTAAATTCATTTATAAATATTATATTTTTAATTTTTATATAATAGCTAACTACACATATCAGAACATTAACTTTGAAATTAAATTTAAATTTCTTTGTTCAAATTTCAACTATTTGAACTGATATCATGTGATTTAAAGAACGTATGCCTCGTCTTGGATTTTGATGAAATTGATTAGTAGAATATTAGGCCGTATTTCGATATTTAAGTTTTAATTGAGATTTGTTTAGATCATGACAAACTAATGAAATCAATTGGGAAAGAAGAAAGTGACATGATATATTTAATTATTAGAGTATTCAGGGGACCAATTCCAAGAGGAACACCCACGCTCCCGTTCGCAACTTAAAATAAGTATGACTTATTCTATTTAACTTAAATTTTAAGCCTAGCATACATCTTAACAAATTTGTTTGTTTACTATCCATATGCTTTTCAAGTTGGGTTAGCAAAACAATCAACCTAGATGTGTAATACTCCCAAACCACATATTCCAGATATTTTCCTCCACCACTGCACTACTCGGTGAGTATATAACCCTCTTCGTTGCCGAGATGGCAGGAGAGAGCAAGCATAGGCAACAAAGGTGGTGAGGTTCAGAGCGAGTGAGGTCAACAACAAGGCTTGAAGAGGGTATGAATAGTTTATGTGATGTGTTGTTGGAGGATATGTCCTTTACGTGATGTGTTGGAGGGAAAGATAATGACAGAAGAAGGCACTCTAATCTTATACGAAGATATGATGAGCCCTTTGGTGTTGTTGGGTGTGGTAACTATGATTAGGTTGTATGGAGGATTGAAGGGCAGTCAAGCGCCCAATGTATGGAGAGATTACGTTGGCAGAGTTACGAAGGGAAGATATGGATGGCTTTGATGACCAGGCAACAGGCAAAATTGGGTTTTATGTAAGTTGGAGCAATTATAAGAAATAATTATAAGAAAATGTAAAAATAAAAAATACAATAAAAAATAACATAATAACATGAGATACAGTATCCATCTCATAAGTGAGGAGATCCTCTAAAAAATCTTTATCCCTAATGCCTTGCTTGTAGACAGTATCCATATCATGGCAAATGTTGATATTTTTTTTCCTACTTTGTCCCCTTATAATAATTAGGATTTGAAATCCCATATCCAGTTCAGCTTCTACAGTTAAAATGCTGACATCCAAATCATCGTCATCCTCAATAATAGGACGATGATGGGGAACTAACACATTGGGTGGAAATGTCTCAATATTTTGAATGAATACATATTTGTCAATGGCAATGGCACGTGATAACATTAAATGTCGCCATGAGTTGTAGTGCATAACATATGGTGTGACGTGCTTTATTTTGAATGTCCCTAAATGTTAAAAACTTACTATGAAAAACTTAAAAAATAAAAATTATGAAATTAAAAAATAAAAAAACATGATATTAAAAATAACATAAATAATACTTAAATTCAAGTGATCGATACCGGACCCAAAATTCAGATGAATATGATTTTCTTTATAAGTCTAATATATTCATAAACAATTGAACAGGTGCTATACAAAGAATTATCATCATCATCAATCACACAAACCTTATTTCTTTCATAAACATCATTATAATCCAACAAAACATAATCTTCATCATCCCCATCAAACAAATGACACTCACAATAATATGAACCACACACAATGTGGGTATATTTTATCCTATATATGTACAAATGGATGGGTGGATGCATGTAGATAGATATAATATTTTGTATAATAGTCACATTACAACATATTCATAAAAAAGTTGTATTTCACTTTTAAAAAGGGTAGCATTAGTATTTTTCATGTGATAAATTAAAAAATATTAAAATTTAGATGATAGATATGCAAATATATAAGAATTTAATTGGATTTATGTAAATTCTTCTTTATTTTTTCCTAATAAACCTAAAAAATAAATTAACACGTGCCTGTATGATGCAAATATAACGTGCCATTTTAATGTAGCGCTGCTCTATATAAATAGCACCAAGGGTGCATCGTGCCGCACACAATTTGTTATATTGACAAGCTTTAATATAGATGAGATGATAACATGGTGCTTGGAGCAAGTAATGAAAGTTTAAAAAAACTTTGATTCCATAATAAATCTTAGCTTTTGTTCCAAACTATGTATGCAAACCTGAACAATAGTGGGTGAAGCTACCTCCATTACATGTCAACATAAATTTTGATCATTTGTGGATTCTATCTCTACTATTATCATGTTAGCTTTAATTGTAATTTTATTTTAACATTTTCATCCAACAATCTCTAATAATTGTTTTATTCTACATTCATTTTATTAGCTACTTATTAAACTTTGATCTAAAAAAATAAAAGACTCCATCCCTTTTAATTTTTGAAGCCTACTTCAAATCTTTCAAGGTTCATTTTCTTTACAAGTCTAATATTTTCATAAACAATTAAATAGGTCATCCAAAAAATTATCATCATCATCATTAGTCACATAGACCTTTTTCTTTTATCGAAGTCATTATGATCCAATAAAACATAACTTCATCATCCTCATCAAACAAATGGCGCTCACAATAGAATGAACCACACAATATGGGCAGATTTTATCCTATATCAGTACATATGTATGGGTGGGTGGGTGTATGTAGACAGATGGCTATAATATTTTGTGTACTAGTCATATTACGACATATTAATAAAAAAAATGTATTTCACTTTTAAAAGGATAACATTAGTATTTTTTATGTGATATATTAATAAATATTAAATTTTAGATGTTAGATATGTAAATGTATAAGAATTGAACTGCATGAATGAATATTCTTCTTTAATTATGCATAACAAACCTTACAAATCAACTTAACACTCGCATGTATGACGAAGATAGCACGCGCCACCATTTTGCTGTATTTACAAGTGTCGGCCGTTTTTTTTATTTTTAATTTTAAAACTTCGGGATTTGAAAAAGTGAATGATTTTGTGATTTTGAAAATAATATAAATATAAATATAACCTTTTTGATTTTTTAAATGATTACATTTTAAATAGTTTAGATGATTAAATACAATACTACAAGTAATACACTTATCCCGAATAATATATATATCACTTGTAATGGGGATTCAATCACCTAGACTAAAGAATTTGTGACATCTGTATTGGTCTGCGAAATATTTTATAAAAAGAACAATAAGTTCCCCTACCTAACATAAAAAAAATTAGATAGGGTTTATTTTATCTGGGTTCCAGGTTCCCTATAGAGGCAAACCCCTATAGTTAATTACATCTTAAATGATCGAAATCACTTAAGAAAACTCTCGATTAAGATCAGGTGGTTTTGCTTTCAAGATTTCAAAGTTTAGGTTTTCACGATTGGACATAGGAAAATCAAATAGGAATGACTCAAAATAGGAACACCTATTTAAGGAATCCAAAGGGAAGAAAAGTAAGAGATATCACAGATCCAGGAGAAACCCCGGAGATGTCCCAACTATCCTATTGTTCGGCTTTATGTCTTTGAAATGATGTTTATTTGATATTTCAATCCTGCAAATTATTTAAGACTTAGGACTTATGTTTGCACAACGTCAGACTGTGCAAATAGCCTAAAAGACAGAAGGATTTACACCGTACCGAACGGTAACCTCGGAATCCTAATGCGTTAGGACTTATAATTACACAACAGAGTTGTGCAAAAAACCCAAAGAAATGATCCTATGGGTTGGTATTTAAACGAAAGATAATAATAGGTGATGTGAATGTGTTCATGTGATGTGAGGATGTTTCGTTGCTGCAGATCCACCTGGTAATTATTCCTCGTCGCTCTGCCCACGATGTTTGCTCCAAACTCCTCGTAGTAGCACCTCCTGGTTTAGTTTTAGTTTTGAACATGCTCCTAACCACTAGGTTATCCTAAACTAAGGCATAGTGTATCAAAGTAACTAAGTATGCAGTGTGAAAGAAAAGTA